ACTATACTTTCTTATCAATAAAATTCTTCTAATTATCTTTTCTCTCTGTGTGAGTTTTTCAGATTGAAATATTAATCTGGGGTTTGTCCCACAGACAACCTGCTTCTCTTACCGTTTCATCTTTTCTTCATTTCTAAAGTGTGCATCATGACAAGAAGCTCATTTTATGGGTGCAGTGTGATGGCTGCTCGTGGTTGTATACTTAGGGTTTGGTCAACCGCCATCAGAATTGAGATAAACTTTGAGTGCAAACTATTTTTTGAAGGACCATCAGGATATGAACTACACCAAGTTGCTTTTCCATACAAATTATGGACAAAATAAAACAGAATTTATGAGTACTGTCTGTCTTTTTAAAAATATTTTGTTCAAAGAACTTAATTAAAAAGCAAAAAAAGGGGATATTGTCTACAATGCTGTTCATAGAGGTTTATTTCTCACAGCTATAGAATAGGAAAATGTTACTATTTCATCAGACCAAAACAGGAAATGGGAAAGAGTGCTGACTTGTCAGTTTTGCAGCGAAAAACTCAAAAGGGGGGGTTGAATTCAAAATTCAAATTAAAAAGACGACTGGTGCTTCACAGAGTGCTGTAAGCACAAGAAAAGTGAATACGCCACAGAGTTGACGACAGCTTTCAGAGGATTTTGAAGGAAAGCCCATTTATCAGTTTGTGAAAGTTAGACAAAGAGTTGACTGCAGCTTGAAATATTCCAAGAGGATGTATCCTGACCATGGGCTACTAGTATAAAATTTGATATTAGACTAACCAAAATGCATCTAAAGGTCCCTGAATAAGTCTGTAGAAAGTACATTTTTTGTTTAAAATGATAGAAATTACAACTTCTAAAAATGGAGGTATTAAATCTGACTATGAGATTTCCCTTCATGATGCTGACACTTTCCAAAAGCTGTGAAAATTACATCTGTTACTGAAAATGATTTTTGAGACATTAAGGAAAAAGATTATCAAGCCATCAGCACCTGGCCTTGGTTTATCAAGCCATCTACTAACACGGAAATAGGGGTATGGTGATATACATAACTATGTCAAATTTTGTACGGCAGAGACTTTATTATTATTATTTTTTTTGTGATCAGGCTCACAGTGCTTTTCAAAAACCTTGTCCAACACTGAATGTACGATATAAGACTTTGAAATTTTCTTAAACTATTACGGTAACGAAATACATTTTTGAGATGTTTGAGAATCTTGCAAACTTTAGAATAAGGTAAAAGCGATNAGGATGTGTGACTGGATGAGGGATTAGAAACCTTACATCTACATCATATGTATGACGTATTTGGTTTATTGGATATTATTTTGCTTTGAGCAAACTCCACAGGAGCTCATTTAAAAGCCCGTCTAAAACTTCAGGTGGACCAAAGTTCACATCAGTTCATTCATGGTTTTGGAAGAATGCTTATTACTGTCAAAATGTGAGTCTTTGATAAAATCAACATGATAAAGTCCTACAAGCAGCCAAAACATTTTGCTTACATGGATATTACATTTTCCATGCAAATGAAGAGCTGTTTCCATTTGCATGGATATTAGCTCAAGCTGTTTTGGTCCTATGTGGTCTTATTAAATTAATAAAAAAATATAATTCTTTAGGGAGGAATGATGGCCTAGTGGTTCTAAGTTCAAGCCCCACTCCCACAGGCTGCCACTCTGGGTCCCTGAGCAAAAGACCCTTAACCTCACACCGCTCCCTCCCTCGGGCGCCACACAATGGCACCCCACTGCTCCCCAAGAGGATGGGTTAAATGCAGAGAGTTCATTTCAGTGCTCTGTATTTGTGACAGGGTAATGACAACAAAAGTTGGAAAAAGAAAACAAAAATAAAATAAAATAGTTTGTTTATTCTACTAGATAATAGTATGTTTAATAGATGTTCAGAGGATGCTATTTTCAAAATGTTCCTTTAAACTGACAAATGAACATGATTGGATTGTAGATCCAATTTAAAAAACGGGACTACTGAACATCTAAAAATAATTTTAAAAAGTTTTAATGAGAATTGTTATTTGAAAAAGGTATTCAATTGAAAAGCTGTAATTTTCAGATCGTGGAAAAGACATTGAAAACTGTGTTTTATTTTTTAACGTCTATTATTGTACTAAATTGGAACAAAATCAGACCGAACAAACAGCCTGATTTTCCACAACTATTTCTGGACTAAATCAAGACTACACCATGCACTATATCCCATGCACCTTTTTCTTCCTTTGGTGCCTTCTACTTGACTATTTGAGCTAATGTAAGTAGTAAATTTCTCCACTGTGAGATCAATAAAGTAAATCAATTAATCAATCAAATAAACTACGATGGACCGACCAGATTCAGCCTTAAAACCAACGTCTAAATGACATCTGGTGTTTGGGGGAATTTGACTACCAGTAAATCTGTGTGTTCATATACGCAACACAAACAAAGCTTTGAAAATTCAAAAATGTTTGGGGAATATGTTTTTTTTACCGTCTTTTCAATTGTGAGGGTAGCCCATTTCATCCTGCCAAGAACAACATCTTGCCAGCGGGTGGCACTTGGTACAGTTACAATTGTAATGTTCCTGCCTTTTCCCAACTCAACCTGAAAAATCAAAGAAAGAAAGGAAATTAATTTCAAATTACATCCCAAGGCATTCAAAGATGGCTAAATTGTGCAATTAACATTACCCATGAAATTATATTTAAGACCTAAATACAAGAATATC